CCAAGAAGGCAGTAACACCCAAGAAGGTAGCGAAGAAGCCTGCTACTGCTGCCAAGAAAACCCCCGTGAAGAAGATCACTAAGAGCCCGAAGAAGAAGGTGGCGGCCAAGAAGGCAGCCCCCAAGAAGGCAGCGACCCCCAAGAAGACAGTAACCCCCAAGAAGACAGTAACCCCAAGAAAGCTGTGAAGAAGGTGGTTAAACCAGCTGCCAAAGCAGCGAAGAAGGCACCAGCCAGGACATCACACAGGAAGTAAACAGATCATCTACTTTATCTCCAAAAGGCTCTTTTAAGAGCCACCCACATACACCAAAAGAACACTTCTCCTGTTTTAATATTTAATTTAGCATAAATACAACTTGAACAAAACATACATGCTTTTGTGTACATAACCACATGACACACTATTTATATATTTGCTTCCATGTTATATTCTAATATTCCATGTTGTGCTTTCATACCACATGGAATTTACCTCAATATTCCAATATTATCTGAAGTACATTGTTCTAGTACCTGACCTGGATAACATTTACATTAGTTTGATTTATTTAACAATACAATCTGCATATAAAGGTATGTGTACATACAAACACATATGGTTGCTGCACTTATTTTCAGTTGATTTGGACAAAAGTATAAGTTATATGTTAGCTAATACAAAGTATATTATAATTATTATAGACATTTCCATAGAAATTGGTTATAATGCACAAACACTTTGAAATCGACCATAGTGTTTTTACACGCGACTACTAGTTTTAAGTAATACTGTATATTCCTCACAATCAGTGAAACTACTAAATATGGTCATTTTAAATGATATATACTAGGTTAGTAAATAATTACATGAAAGTCCGGCCAGTAGAAAAGCAGGACCAATATCAACGTGTTATTTTAGGGTTTCATTTATTAATTGAATAAAATGAATAAATAATAAATGAAACTTGACCTCATTAATCTAAATGTATTTTGGGTACATTTTATATTCAAAATGAAGTCAACGAATAACGGAAATGTATCTATAACAATAATGTAGTCAAGCAGAAAATAGTAGAGCTATAAACAGTATTTAAAGAATATAATTCATAAATGGAGAATGTAAGAATGTAAATACAATTCTTATAAGTATTGTTATGACTATACTATTCTGCCACTGTTTCTTTTGGCTCTTGTACTAGTGTTTGATTTTATAAATAAAGTTGAGAAAAGTTTTCTTTCCTTCTTGGCGCTGCTATATCACGTGTTAAGATTGGACCAATCAGCGTAGCTGATACTCCAGCTCTGGGTATAGAAGCAGCTCTGTTGCACTACTTTTCGAACAGAGAAGCAGACTCTCGCTCGCCATGGCAAGAACCAAGCAGACCGCCCGTAAATCCACCGGAGGAAAGGCTCCCAGGAAACAGCTGGCCACCAAGGCTGCCCGTAAGAGCGCCCCGGCCACCGGTGGCGTGAAGAAGCCTCACCGTTACAGGCCCGGTACCGTGGCTCTGAGGGAGATCCGCCGCTACCAGAAGTCCACCGAGCTGCTGATCCGCAAGCTGCCCTTCCAGCGCCTGGTGAGGGAGATCGCTCAGGACTTCAAGACCGACCTGCGCTTCCAGAGCTCTGCCGTCATGGCTCTGCAGGAGTCTAGCGAGGCCTACCTGGTCGGCCTGTTCGAGGACACCAACCTGTGCGCCATCCACGCCAAGAGGGTCACCATCATGCCCAAGGACATCCAGCTGGCCCGCCGTATCCGCGGAGAGAGGGCTTAAACTGACCTGAGACCAGAACACCGAAACACAACGGCTCTTTTAAGAGCCACACAAACACACTTAAAAGAGATACTAATCCTGAAATATACCTATTTATGCAATTGACAACATTACAGTTACTGTATTGCTGAGGAGATTAAATTGTTATTTCATAAAACAGTCTTACATTAGTACACACCTAGGTGCATGGTGCACAAATGTCCCATATTTATTATAACGGCACATTCCCTAGTAGTCTTCTCTCCTACAATGGGGTTCCATTTTGCTACGACAACCTGTGGGCTGCGAGCACAGGATTGGCTGAGCGTTGTGGTCGCTACTGAGCATGCGCTGGAACTGCCATTTCGAAATATTACACAACTCTTATCTCTCAAGATGACTCATCAGGTTAATATTATGTATTACTATAAGTGAGCTGTAAATCCACAGCCTTCATTACACTTCCTCCAAGTGACTTATACATTCAACTGACTTCTGTTATTCTCAATAAAAGTCGATTCCATTTTAATATATTTTATCATACTTTTATTGTATTCAAGAGAAAAATATTGCACTCTTTTCTTTTATGAAAAAACATATTGTACAATATCATTTCTGAATGATACATCTTCAAATGTTAACATTTCTCTATCAAGGATAAATGTGAATGCAGATTAGCAACAGTTTCAGCGCATTAACGTTGCATTGTTTGTACTGTTTAATTCGTGTTTTTCAGATATACTTACAGCACCATGACAATTTCTTTCCAAAACATAAATATATGTAAAAGTATGCCATTGTAAGGGCCTATAAGATGCTCATTAACATTACTTTATGAAATAAATAATATAAGCGTATTCAACAGTATCATAGACACATTTATTAAAGTAATAATCAATTGAAACAAAAACGTTTATTTTGTATATGTTATCATACTGACATAACTGCTCAACAAATCTCCTCTGGCTGGAAGAGAAGTCTGCTTCATCAAATCACACTGTACATTTTACATTTAAATATTCCATCTCTCACATACTTATGTATATAATACCTTACTTTATATCTTGTTGTTGTTCAACATGTATTCTCCTTTCTTGTTTATTTATTGTCTTTTAATTGTTTTTGAACAATGCCATGTCTTGCAACATAAACATTTCCCAAATTGGGATCATAAATGTATAGATATTCATGTTATCAGGATATTATAGTCCAAATGAATCTCACTGTTACGGAGTGGCTATTGTGGTTGGTATCGTATATTGAAATGTGTCTTGATTTTGTTGGATCATATTGTTGTTTTTTATTATAGTTAGCATGTTTGACATCACAGAATTGGTTGAGCAGTTGTGAGAGTTAATATATTTCTGATGCAAAGTTAAACAGGACAGAATAATCTCTTTTAGTTGGAAGTGGGTGGCTCTTAAAAGAGCCTTTGGGGTGTTGGTAGAAGCGGGTTTAGGGTCTTCACTTCTTGGCGGGCTTCTCGGTCTTCTTGGGCAGCAGCACAGCCTGGATGTTGGGCAGCACGCCTCCCTGAGCGATGGTCACTCCTCCCAGCAGCTTGTTCAGCTCCTCGTCGTTGCGGACGGCGAGCTGCAGGTGGCGGGGGATGATACGGGTCTTCTTGTTGTCCCGGGCGGCGTTTCCAGCCAGCTCCAGGATCTCAGCGGTCAGGTACTCCAGCACAGCGGCCAGGTACACCGGGGCTCCGGCACCGACACGCTGGGCATAGTTACCCTTCCTCAGATGCCTGTGGACACGGCCGACGGGGAACTGGAGCCCGGCCCGGGATGAGCGAGTCTTGGCCTTCGCTCTGGCTTTTCCTCCGGTCTTGCTTTTTTTTTTATTAAGAAAACTTTATTTTATATTATTTTGGTAGTACATGATATACACAAGTTACATTAATAATACACATAAAACACAATGAATAAATACATAAATAACATAGAAGAGCACATTTTATATTCCAGTGACTCAGTTCGGTCACAGACTCAAAACGCCCCATGGCTGAGTCTGGGATGTGTCCAGGGTTTTTCTTCTCCTATTTCAGTGATAACCAGTTTCACGATGGTGCCACTGTTTATGATCGTCTGATTTAGTATCATTTTGCACCTTGGTTTCCAGATTTTCATACATGTGATACCAATTACCAGCTGAAAAAGGTCCCTGTGTTTATTGTCCATCCCCTCATCCAGAATACAATACATGATTGAGATATATTCTACATTGAACTCTAAGCCGATGCCCCGTAGGAGCGACCACACCTCCTTGGCTCTGCAGCAGTCCATGAGGAGGTGCTATAAAGTCTCGTCCTCCTCACAGTTAATCATGGGGCATGTTCTAGTTTTCACATAGCAGCTCCATGAAACCACAGCTCTGACCGCAAGTCTGTTAACTGATATCAGCCACCTCACGTCTCTCATGCTCTCCGATAACTGTTTACTTTTCACTAATTTTAAGACTTCGTTACCTTCGTCAGGTGTTAGGTTTTTGAATGTTATAACACTATATTATATATCTATATTGCCTCATCTTGACATTTTCAGTTTAGGTTAGCAGAAAACAATAACTCCTAGCTACAAGAGGTGGTCTATATAGCAACGGTCTGGCCGCTGATTGGTAATGTATGGCGGTATGATCATCGACCAATCAGAGAAGCGTTAGTCACTTCACTGAAACAGTTCTATTAACATAACAACTTAAGAGTGTATTATTAGAGAAACAATATAAAACAAAGTATACTTTAAAGGATACAAGTGATGCACACTATTATATAATTTTGCATGCTTGTGTAACAAAAAAACAAACACATTTGGAATCAAAACCAGAAGCTAATCTGATCTCGGAAATGTAATTTGCATTAATTTGTAACAATATGAATTTCGATCCAGAGCACCACATGTATTATAATAAAATGGTATTATACTTTAATTATAAAAAGTACACAAAAGTAACGTGCTATACTATAATATGATTCTTATTCTACAAAGTACATTTGTTAATTTTATTCTCTATACATCATATACTTGTGGGTTTTATATGATATTGTTTCAGTAACCTTATCATTTTCTTTGAGATGGATTGAAGTTGAATTTGAATTGTGATAACATTATATCATGGCAATAAAGTGTGGACTTATTGTGTTACAGCAGCATCAGTGTGTTCAGGCATCAAACAGTTGGAATAAAGTATAGAAATAATGAAGCAAATATAAATATATCTACAGTAGAAAATACATAATGACAAATGATTAAAAAATGTGAATGTAGTGGATGGATTAAAATGTTTACATATAGTTGACATATATGCTGAGAGGGAGCCTTCTGTACGGTCTACTGCTGTTCTCATGTCCTTGTGAGGGGAGCTGGAGCAGTCTGTCGGAGAAGGAGCCCCGTAAATCAATAAGTAGTACAGCATAATATAATATGTCATTATGTACTTTTAAATAACGCATGTATGTAAGGGATAATATTTTAGAATCTTGAGTTGCATTCGTACACTATTAAGCATATGGGGAAAGTTGTCTTTTGGTATGTTTAGGTGGCTTTTAAAGGAGCCCTTTGTAGGGGAAGTAGTAACTAATATAGCAACAATTTGAATGATTTAGCATACCAGGTTATAAGTCATATTTATAGTAGTTAATTCAGTTCTAATAAAAAAAAGATATATATATATATCTAGTGTTACACATATAGTATGCAAGTATGTATATTAGTGTAAAATTATATATTATTATACAGGAGAAGTGCTCTTTTGGTGTATGTGGGTGGCTCTTAAAAGAGCCTTTTGGAGATGAAGTAGATGATCTGTTTACTTC